GGTCTGATCTGCAACTACAGGAAACGTTTGGTTGAGGTTATTGCTGCCAAAGGAGGGTCAACCAGTTATTAAATCCAAGGGTTCATATACTTTTTCCACCCTGCACTGTGAATGTTTACATGGTGTGTTCAATAAAAACATGAAAACATAATTGTTTCTGTGGTGGTAATGTGGTATTAGTTTAAGCAGACTGTTTGTCTATAGTTTCGACTTGGCTGAAGATCAGAACCCATTTTATGACCAATTTATGCAGAAATCCAGGAAATTCCAAAGGGTTCATATACACTTTCTTGCAACTTTAGTATTTGATTTTGTTTCTATTATATTTCCAGTATATTCTTTATATTATGCATTCTATAGATATTCTACAGATGTATAGCTTTAGGGAGTATGGCACATTTTTTCTGAAACTCTGTATTGAGCTATTCATTTTGCAGTGTTAGTGCTACTATTATAGGTAATCTGACTATTACTCCTCTGATCTAAATGTTCAGTAGTTCAACCTTCGACACCTTAACTGAGTCAGAAATCATTTTATTTTAACATGGCAACAAACAGTTTCCACAGAAAAAAGAATCTTATGGAATTTTCCATTTAGTGTTTCCATTATTGGCTTTCACAACAGGACATCTTAGTACAGTTCAGGTTTCCACCAGTTTGATCACTAGATATACAATTAAATATTCTAAAGCATTCTACATTATTCAAATTATTGTAGGTAATAAATCACAGCAAACTGAAAATGAGAATTTCAGTTTTACATAGGCAAAGTCAAACAAAATATTCTAACATAGTGGTTACTGCTCCCTATTGACACTAAATCATTAATCATCATTATCCAAGATGGTATTTAGATTAGTATGTCAGCCTCTATACTCATAACACTTTTTCATAAAAAGTCATAAAACATACCAAACACAGATAACTAGGAGTTAATACCACATGAGCTCTGTAACAACAGTGATTAAACAGGACAAATGGCTGCTAGAAAAGCAGAAAAGCATAATATTGCATTAATTGGCAGGTATTACTTTCAGTCTAAGTAATGATCATGTTCTATGAGTTTGGACATTTATTCTTAAAAAAAAAAACGACTCAAAGCATAATTGACTAAGTAACTGATTGTTTTTTGAGTATACAGGCTCAAAACCAAAAAAATAAGATTGGGACACAGCTAAAATGTCTGCCATAATTGCCAGTGTTACTGTGCTGAAAATAGACCTGGTACTAAGAGTTTTAGCTACTGCCTCTCCTGCAATGCTATGCTCGGTGTGAAAATCTGAGTGAGACAGGCACAGGTTAGTTTGTCAGGATAAATGCAAAAAAACATGTTCTGCTGCTTGCACTACTCGTTACACTGCCATGAATATATAGAAATATAATAAGTTTTTCTAATTAGTCAGGCTCTGTGTAAGAAATACATTCATCATATGCATCTGAAGTGCATGATTGCTATATGAAAAAGCTTATTATAGTCACTGTTCACATTACACAGATATCCCCACTCTGTGTCCTCAGAGGACAAAATCTCTTCATCATTGAACATTGGCACATCACACACACACACACACACAACACACACACACAACACACACACACACAACACACACCACACCACACACACACACACAACAACACACAAACACAATCACACACCACACACACACACAACCACCACACACACACACACCACACACACAAGATTGGTGGAAGCACTGGAGCGTAAGTGGAATAACACTGATTATCTTGGTTATCATGGCTCCTGTCAGTGGGTGGGATATATTAGGCAGCAAGTGAACATTTTGTCCTCAAAGTTGATGTGTTAGAAGCAGGAAAAATGGGCAGCGTGAGGATTTGAGCGACTTTTGCCAAATTGTGATGGCTAGACGACTGGGTCAGAGGTTCTCCAAACCTGCAGCTCTTGTGGGGTGCAGTTCAATTGGTATATATATAATAAAAAATAAAAAAAAAATAGAAAAAAGCCTCTAGACGTAGTCTTGAAGCACGTTGCTCTTTGAACATGGCTAAGGTGAAGAAGGAGCTAACGAGTGAGCAACGGGTCGAATAAAGGCCCTTTTTGATGCTTGCTTGAGTTACCGCTGCATAGCCAATCACTTGATTTGCAGTCCAAGCACTGAAAAGTACACTTTAAACTGCCATGATGCCACCAATTCACACCAGAACCGAAAGGGGAGAGGTAGAAAAAAGAAACTTTCAGACAGACAAGTGAAGCATCTCAAAACTGTCAGTCTTAAGGACAGAAGAACGACCTCACGAGAAGGTGCAACAGTGTCTTCAATAACTGTGCGTCGGAAAATGGGGGAAGAAGGACTTGTTGGCAGAATAGCAGCAAAGAAACCATTGATGAAAGAGAAAAATAGAGTGAAACAACTGAAATTGGCAAAAGAACACACAAAATGGAAAAAGGAAGATTGGTATGAAGTGTTGTGGACTGATGAGTCCAAGTTTGAACAGTTTGGCAGCAAGAGTGTATGTTCGACGGAGGGTGAGGGCGAGATATAAAAATTAGTGTCTCTTGCCAACAGTTAAACACGGAGGGGGTAGAATTAAAGCTCAAAGTCAACCCCATCGAGCAATTTTGGGGCGAGTTGGAAAATAAACTGCACAGATCCATTGTACATGATAACATTAGTGTTGAAGTTCTCAGGAAATATACTGTGACTATGCCAGAGAAATGTCCTGCTGGAATTGCTGCAAAAGGTGGACATACCAAATATTAAAGTTAAAAGTGGATAAAAACAGTAGGATTCACTTCATTTGATATTTGATGTGCTCAGAGCAACCATCTGCATGTTTCATGAACATTATGAAATGAAATCATGTTTTGCAGGCAAAAAAAGGTCAATATTTTCAGATCTGTCAGGTGTTCTAATAATTTTGGCCACCACTGTATATACTGTTTTAACTTATCTGTAAACATTGTAAAATGATCTGAGCTTATTGTGGTAAGAACCAGCCATGCACAGAACTGTCCCAAAAAGTGGTACTGCATATAATGAGATATTATGGCAAAGGATTGTAGTGCATTTTAAAGTTGTAAGAAAACACCAGTCCAAACAAGTCAATGAATGTGCCAAAAAAACAAACAAACAACAACACTCCCTTAACACTCTATTCCCTTAAATTAACCGATTTGTACAATTCTTTGCTTTTCCTGATTTTCCAAAGTCAACAGACAGAAACCATGGATTTCCCAAATGTTGGGAAATTGACCCTTCCTAAGTCCCGCCGGTTCTGATAGAAAGGTGTCAGAACATACAGTGCATGACAGTGGATATATACATGTCCCTTTTATCCTTTTACCATCTTCAAAGCAAAAAGGGGTAGACTCAGGAAGGGTTAGTTTCATGACGAGTGAGAACCGTGGTTGTTACTGGACTGAACAAGTGGTTCTCAACCTTTTTGGTGTCAAGAACCCCCACACTGATACAAATCCGTCCATGTTTGATGAGATGTAGTCTCAGGGATCCCCATCTAATAATGAGAAGTTATAATAACTGTCTGTAGATTAGCAGATTAGCAGATTAACAGTGAAGACTGATTCCTGAAAACAGAACAGTTATACAATCTCTCACTGGGATAACTTCTAGCCCATGAAATAACAGGGAGATTAAAATATTCCCCACTTTTCTGAGGACCCCCTGGAACCTCCTCAAGATTTAGACCCACTGATTTAAACAGTGCTGGAAACAATGAGACCCACTCTTCACCGCAATAAAACTATGTCCCTTTGCTGGAAGGTTTTTGTCCTGCTGAATGTTTTTGAGCAAGACAGTGAGCATGCTGGCCGACTGCTAATTGTATAAGCATCAGCTACACCTTGCTCAATGCAAACTGAGGGAAATTCTCAAAGGTTACCAGAAATACTGCATTGAAATGTGTGTGTTGTGGACCACTGTCCACAGCCTGACAGGCAGTCACAGCTTTTGATGGATGTCATGGCCCACTAGGAGTTTGTGAGGCATTGTTTGTGCGACGTCGAATTCGGATTGGAATTTCCTCATCCTGAGAAACAGAGAAAAAGCAAAAAGTAATCTCTGATTTCCATTTACTTTAAGATGACTGCATCTGTGGTGATTATAAAAAGGTAAGGATGATTACAATGATTTGAAACGAATGAACGATGTTGGTTTTTACATACCGTTTCAGCAGTGTCTGCCGTCTCCTCTCCCTCAGTGTACTCACTGCCTGGGGTAAAACCCTCAAAGTCAGACAGGGCGCTTTCCACCGCCTCCTCATCATAATCGGTCTGGTATTCATCAGACAGTTCCTCTAGAGGCAGACAAAAAAGCAGACAACATCAGCGAGTATTTTTTAAAATTAATATTTACAAATATTGTCCATATGCAATCATAAAATCGTACCAATAATGTTGGCTGGCTCTACATAGTGGAGGCCCACATTGTTCGGAAGGTGAGCAGTAATCAGTTGCAATCTAAGACTTCACCACTAGTTGCCACTAAATCATACACACTAGACCTTTAAGACCCCCCCCCCCCCCCCCTTATATATAATTCTATATATACATTATTTTTAAGGCACTGATTTGTGATATTAATATTTCACAGATACTAACCACTGATTAAGGCATTCTTCACAGTTCGATTCTCGTACACATCCTTTCCAGTCAGTGAAGGAGCTTGGACAGTGGACTCACCTGAAAGAACAAAACTCTTATTCTGAGAAGCTTCTCTGCTGATTAAAATTTAAAACAGACACTTATTAGAGCCATTTTCCTATGTATAGATCAATGCAGTGACTTTTGCTACAAATTCACTATTTGATCATCATGCCTTCCGATGACATCAGAACTTGGTGGGGAGGTGAAGCAACTATTCTAGTATAAAGCCTTCTGGCCTACTGTCTCTGTCGTATAAAGGTGGTCTCCCAGCTTCTTTCTCTTAAAGCGGGCACCCCTTTTGTGCTTGGTATCTAAACTTGTTGACCCCTGACTAAACCGAACATTATTTTATGGATATTCATATTATTATCAATACTGATACGTACAGCTACAATGAACCCCAAATAAGAATGCTATATTTTTTGGATGAAATCTTGAGCAGGATGTATTCTTCTTGCTGAATAGTTGATCGGATTGTAGTACTTTTTATATTCAAAGTAAGTTTCTAAGTTGTCATACACGCTTTAAAATCAAGAAGGCCTTAGCTTTGGGGACCCCTAGTTGGTTTGCTTTATATAAACAAGGTCTTCTACTACTTTACTAAGGATCCTTAACATTAGACATTAGCCAGAGAAGAGCAGCAAGTTTTGCAATCAATACTGACCCACAGACTACTACTTCAACTACATAATTATGCATTTTTTTGAATGCAAATTATTTTGTGATTAACAAAATGATACTGTCTTCTAACCATGTATCTAACTATTCTATTTCCACACATTCTGAATTGTGTCAACACAAAATCCCCCCAAAAATGATCATGGTTTTATAATCCAGCACCCGGGTCAGCAGTAGTGTCTGTAGTTTACACTCACATGGCCAGTTTTGGTCTTGTGGAACTCTTCCTGATGTCTGTCCTTCAGCATGCTGTCCACCACGCCGCTGCGCAGCCAAACATCAAACAATGTCTTTCCGTGCTGGTATCCCACCTCCTGCAGCCACAGTGAAGGAGGGTTACAGATATTCAAAGCCAGAAGATGGAAAAGACATGCATCGAGGTACGTAGGGAAAACTCACTGCGATCTCGTCAAACTTGCCGAACTCTAGCGTGCTGTAGTGGTCGATGGGTGGCCGGATGTACTCGCAGTATTCACTGTCTTTGACCAGTTCCAGTTGCCGCACACAGCAGACGTAAGCAAGCCGGGTTTGGATCTCTGCCATGTTCAGGACCTGGAAGGTAAAATTAGTGGAGTTCAACAGGGCTGTGAAGTATCCCTCAATTTTACAATTCTCATTTCATCATTTCTCTAGAATAGGTTTAGCCGCTAGTAACTTTGAGTTTCCCACTTAACCATACATCTCTGCAATATTTTTGGTAAATGGCCACAAGAATAACAACAGAGGACATCCATCTGACATGAAAGTTTACCTTGATTTTCTCAGCCAGAGGGTTGAAGCGTTTCCATAGCAGCCACCAGCCGTTCAGGGAGTCACCGTAGTTGGTCAGGTTGGTTTCATCGCGACTTCCAACATCGATTGCAATCACAACCTTGGCCCCCATGGAGCGAGCTACATCGGCTATATAGCAGTGAGACAAACACATCAAGGGCCCTGGTGACCTATTTTCAGCTTTGTTTAGGTGCTAGTAACATAATATACCCGACTCTCTGGCTGACCATTCGCTGGGCATTGTAAGCAATGTAGGTGCCAGGTTTTAAAAAAAGGTAAAGAAATGACGATATCTGCGGTACTGCTGTATGCATTTTGATCTTTTTGTGTTAGCTGTCCGTTGTGAGTCTGACAATGTTACAGGACTGCAATGCTAAATTGGTGGAATACTCTGTTCTCAAAGTACATTTTTATGACGGAAAAACCCATATCCTGTGTCCCTAATCTACAGAAATTAACATTTTGTATTTTATCCAGCATTTACAAAAATAAGGAAGGAAAGTAGTGTTTTGTATTAAAGTGGCTCTTGTCCAATGCAAAGTTGCCTCTGTGATGGACTATTTTTGTACTGATGCCAAATGTCTGCCACCATTTGATCGATGGTACTATTTTAATAATGAATACAAAGCCATGTTGAGCATCTTCCCTAAAATAGAGATGATCCATTAGTACACAGTAAGTTGTTTCATTCAAAAAGAATGTTGATTTTTAAAGGTTCTAGATGTAGGATTTATAAAGGTTCTTCATTACAAAATAAATTACTTCTTAATGGAAAAAAGTGTGATCTTGACATGACTCATATTACAACATTATAACCATCTTCCTTTCGTATTCGACTGTACTGAAGAGGATAAACGTGTTTCTCCCCACAATACTGTTAACATATAAGCATGTTATAAATGTTGTAAATAATCTTGTCTTTCTATGGTGCAGTTCCTCTCTTAACCCTATATATTTAGAACAGATCTAGATGAGCCGGTCTCTAACGGTGTACAGTTTTCAACAAAAGACTTGAATAACTTTGTAATAAGCAGTTGTTGTTAGATCTTCTTATGAAATATATATCATTCCCACTCATATGAATTCCTCTACTACCCTCGCTCCCAGTGTTTCTCACCAGGCAGGTTGTTGATGTACCCTCCGTCCATGAGCAAGTGTCCATCTTTGGGATCACAGAGAGGCGGCAGGTAACCAGACAGCGACATACTGGCCCGGACATACCGCCACAACGAACCTGAAGAGGAGAGTGTGTGGTTGACAGGTTGACAGAAAGAAAGACAAAGCAATTAAAAGACATCATGAGAACATGATTTACATTACATAACCAAGTCCAAAAAATTAAAGATATTACAAGAAGTTTTTAACTGGTTATGATGTCTCAGATGTTGTAATACTGATAATACCACCTCTATATGACCTAAATAAACAAAAAAGACCATCAGAGAGAAGACTTAACTAAATATTTCTATTTAGTTATTCTTAATGTCTGCCACCTGGTTGTATTCAGTTGGATTAGGTACTTAATAGTCTTTTTTGACAGATTCAGTGTTTTCTTCTCATTGTTCTATTTGTTTGAACTTTTCTAATGCAGGATCAGGCTGTTCATCAGTGAGTGAAGGCTCTGTGAATATAGCTTGTGTTCAGCTCTTCAATCTTCTTAAATAACAATCTAAACTATAAAATTCATTTAATTTAGTATCCTACACAGAACTAAATGAAATGTCTTTTTTTTTTTAAATAGTTTTCTAACAACCCTTAAAAGGTGCTTTAAGTAACCATGGCAGTGATAACATTGCAAATCGCACATACAGTGGGTACGGAAAGTATTCAGACCCCTTTAAATTTTTCACTCTTTGTTTCATTGCAGCCATTTGCTAAAATCAAAAAAGTTCATTTTATTTCTCATCATAATGTACACTCAGCACCCCATCTTGAGCAGGAAACAAACAGGAAAGTAGAAATTTTTTCGCAAGATTTATGTAAAAAAAGAAAAACTGAAGATATCACATGGTCATTAGAGTATCTCAGACCCTTTGCTGTGACACCTCATTTTAAGTCACATGCTGTCCATTTCTTCTTGATCCCTCCTGAGATGGTGCTGCTCCTTCATTGGAGTCCAGCTGTGTTTAATTAAACTGATTGGACTTGATTGACTGGGTTTGGAAAGGCACGGAAGCAGTGCGTGATATAGACGCTTACAGCTCACAGTGCATGTCAGAAGCAAATGAGAATCATTTAGCGGGCTCGACACAAGGATACTGCCCAAGGAGCTCATGAGACAGATAGTGTGGCAGAGGCACAGAATTTTGGCCAAGTTACAAAAGAATTTCTGCAGGCAGCTGCGAACTTGCCTGAAGAGCACTGAGTGGCGCTGCCATTGGAATCCTTAAATGGAGAGAAGTTTGGACGACAGAACTCGTTCCTAGACGCTGGCCGGTCCAGCCAAACCTGGAGCAATCGTGGAAAGAGCCCTGGGTGAGGAGAGTAAGAGCAGAAGAACCAAAGATCACTCGTGACTGGAGCTCCAGAGATGCAGTAGGGAGATGGGAGAAAAGTTCCACAAGAGTCAACTAGGCACTGCAGCCCTACCACCAGTCCGGGGCTTTTATGTTCAGAGGTGGCTCTGACGGAGAGCCTCGTCCTCGAGTGCAAGACATGATGAGCCCGCAAAGAGTCACGATGAAGGACTATGAGAAAGAAGATTTCTCTGGTCTGAGTGGAGGACAAGGATTGAACTTTTTTGCGTTAATTTCTAATGCGGGTAATGTGTGGGAGAGAACCAGGCACTGCCTCATCACCCATGCCCAATACAATCCCAACAGTGAAACATGGGTGGGTGGCAGCATCATGCTATGGGGGTGTTTTTCAGCTGCAGGGACAGGACGAGCTGGTGCGAACTGTGAGAGGACAGATGACGATGGGCCAGAGTACAGAGAGACCTGGGAAGAAAAACCTGGCTTTCCAGAATGTGCTCAGGACCGTCAGGACTGGGGCCCGAGAAGAGGTTCACCTTCCTCAAGACAAGACACATGACGCCTAAAGCACAAGGGCTAAAATAACAAAAGGGGAGGTTGTTTTTGGGCTTCGAACAACTTCTGGTGACCGATTCATTGACTGGCCATCAGAGCCGTGACCTAAACACCCAGAGTGAGCATCTCTGGGGAGAGCCTGAAAATGGGCTCCAGCCAAGGCGCTCCACATCCAACCTGACAGTAAGCTGGAGAGGAGTGAAAGGAAATGGCAGAAGGATCCCAGAATGCCAGGTGTGAAAAACTTGTTGATCATTCCCAAGAAGACTGGTACTGAGCTGCGAAAAGAGGTGCTTGCTACGTCATCATACTGAGCACAAGGGTCTGCAATACTTATGACGCGCGCGGGAGGTTGATATTTCGATTGTTCTTTTTAATAGAATTTGGCAAGAAATTCTACCATTTCTGTTTTTTCGTGTCGAGAAACTGGGTGCTTGAGTGTGAGCACAGTGTACATTAATGAGAAAAATTGAGAAATTAATTGATTTTAGCAAATGGCTGCAATGAAACAAAGAGTGAAAAATTTAAAGGGGTCTGAATACTTTCCGTACCCACTGTACATGTCCATTTGATTCATTTATTTCAGTAACCATCTCCAAAATGTGTTTTTGGAGGGAATTAAAAAAAAGGATGTTTTTAAAATAATACAAAAAACAGTACAAAGTGGTACAGACCATAAGTGTGGACTCTCATGGAGGAAGCTGTGATATCTGTTGTAATGTTGAAGTATGGCAACCACAGGTCCTAGCATAGATGAAAATTAACATTGGTTGGTTTGTAACAAATATGCCATCTGTATTTAATACCAGTTTGTTGCACATGGGTTTGTTTGTAACCCACAGAGCTCCTTTAATTAACACTTGCATCTGCCCCCACTCTGCGGGGGGTAGAATGCTCACTTCCAGTATGAAATTAAGGTAATTTTCAGCTGTGGAACCTGAACTCAAATGATGCAGAATAAAGTTTTAGATTTATTGATTAAGTGATTTGGAACAATCCCCAATTATTCTTTGTCTTTTCAAGAACCTGTTTTAAAGAAAGGTGTTTTTTTTGTTTTTTTTTAAGATGACTTTACCTCTATCTGTTTGCCCTTGAAGACAGAGCTGATGCTGGAGTTAAAGGAAGCTCCAGAAAACATGGAGGTAACAGGGTAGGTCAGATCCAAGATCTTCTTAAAGTAAGAGGTCATATCCTGAGAAAGGAGGAAAGTTAAAAAAGGAAGTGATGGGTTAAATATGAGAGCAGATGCCATAACAAGACCAAAATCTTGAAGTAAAGCAATTTCCTAATAATAATAATAAGAAAGATCTAACTAGGGACATTCATCATTTTCAAACTGTGCTTTTTCAGTGTAATGTCAACACACCATGGCCCACTCACGAGCCCGGACCCTCATGCGACTGTTGCTCTTCTCCTCAGCGTACAGCGCTCCCATGAGGGAGCCGATGGAGGTGCCGCCCACCATGTCGACAGGAATCCCTGCCTCATTCAGCGCCCGCAGGATGCCGACCTGAGAGCAGCCCCTGAAAGGAGACGGTCATCCATCAAATAACATCACACATGATATATGATATCATTTTGTTCAAATAAATCAAAAAAGTCCACCAGTCTGAATTTTTTGGACTTCACAGTGAAGTAGGAGACATCTTGTGTCCAACAGGAAAACTTTAATTTAAAGACATTAACAAAATTTGCATATTATATTATCACTTTTTAGTGATGAAATTATTGAATTTCTTTTAGAAAAAAAACAGACACACGATTATAGTTCCAAGCAGACTACTTGTATATATGCCTTGATACATGTCTGAAAGGGGTCTCAGGTCACAGCTAAGAGGAACCGGTCCCTACCTTGCCAGAGCTCCAGGACAAGCCAGAGCAGTGAGAAAAAGAAACAGATCAATCAGAACAGAAACAATCAGAATATACCTGCTTATTGGAAAATACATACCGTATCTTGTAAAGTGATTATCAGTTGTTTGCTGTTTTATATTGACATTTCTACAATGCCAGCATGGGGATTAATCCTATTTATTTATCTTTTATCATTCTAATGCTAAACTATAATTGACCTGTCTTAAGCCCCACCCCTTTTAAGATTATCTAGCTAGTTATCTCAAGCAAAATACTAGCCAACTAACTAACTAACCAGCTAAGTTAACAAGGAGTGATGCAGATTTGCTAGCTAGTTGGAACTTTGATCATTTAACCATCTTCAAAGTGTGGTTGTCTTTTCCACATAGATTAGCCTATCACACAGTATATCTAAGTACAGGAAAGTAGAAAGTTGAGTGAGGCTTGCTCAACTGTGATTGGCGCACAGAACAAAAAGTGCAGGACTTAGTGGGTGGGTCAATGCTCCTTGAGGTGAAGTCTTAAAATGCTGGCGTTGAATGTGTTTGTATATAAAGCTGCATTACCTGGCACCCCCTCCACCCAGCACAAGGGCGATGCTGTTTCCCGTCAGGATCCTGGCCAGACGGGAGAAGTCGGAATGACGATCTGGACACTTTTCAAACACACGCTGGTACAACTCTCTCTGAAAACCAAACACACACAAACAGAAATGACTCATTGGCTGACTGGGCTAGAATTGCCCATAAAGAAAGTGTCGGGGGTTTGTACCAGCTTAGGTAAACTCCTCTTGGAGAACACTCTGCGGGGGCAAGACAGGTGATGGTGTCTGGAGATCCAGCTCCGCATGTTTAGCCACTCGGCCGTCCCTTTGGGTGGTGGGCCATCTTCTCTGTGCAGCAACACCAGCTGCTTCTGAGCGCGAACTGCACTGCCCTCCAACATCCGCTCCAACTACAGTAAGGGAAGAGGAAGAAAAAGCAGGTACTGTAGCTTTCAGTTAGCTCATTGTAGCGATCTATTGCAGAAAGGAGGTGCATAAACACTGTGATGGTGTGACATAGAAACCAACCACCAACTAGCGTTTTGGCAGTGTTGTTTGCAGAGCAAAGTAGACACAGCTGTGTAAGTATAAATGTTAATAATGGCATAAAGGCTCGACATATAGACAATGTAAAACTATAAATCAGCCTTTAGTCATTACAACTTAAGAGAATGGATGGGTCTATGAAATTGTTAGGGTGAGAGCTAGTCCCACTATAGCATCCAGGCTGATGTGTGTTAGCACAGCTTTAAGTCACACTGTTCACCGTCCCGAATTTAGTTTTCATTCACAGAAAACAGAGCTGGTGTTAATCAGCTGTTATGACTTCGAACGTCCTGTGTGATTTCTGCAAAAAAAACTACAGCAGCTGAACAGGTGTAAGTATATTTACTGACCTCACCCACAGTGGGCTCCTGCTCACCCAGTCCAACAATGATGATGCAGTCAGCTTGGCGGATGCAGCGCTGGGTCCAAGGTGTGAGGCCAGAGTCAGACTGGTAGAGGACGATGCGATGGATGTCTTCCTGCTGTCCGAGCCAACTGGACAGACGGTATTCGTGGACACTTTAAGAGATGAGGTACAAACGTCAGCTGTTACTGTATGTACAATATATGCAGGGTTGCTTCTCTTTTGTAATGATACATTTCAAGGACTTTTCAAGGACTAATTATTTCAAAATATATATTATATTCACATATATCAGTCTGACACACCACAGTACTAGATAAAGACTTGAATATTTTACCTTAATTAGATGTTTAGAAATTTAAAGCTACAGTAGATAACTTTTATAAAAAATAACTTTTTGTCATATTTGCTGAAATTAGTCTAGAACTGGGTAGACTGAGTCTCATTCCCAGGGTTCCAAAGTGTCTTGGAATGAGACTTAGCAATCAACTATCTTTCTTGGCTCTGATTGGTGGTTTTCCTTCAGGCCCAGTGGATTCTTGCAAATATCATTAGGAGCACTAGAAGGAGCCAGAGTAACCTGATTTTTTTCACAGATCTCTAGCGCAGATGAATATAGATATAAATATGAATATTTTTTTGGATTATGACTTTTTATTCTTTTTCCATTAAATTATGCAAATAGGCAATTTCTCGTGTTCTAATTTGAATATTGGTAGAAACTTTTTTTGTTCATAATAAATGAAGCCAGAACGTTTTATCTTGCTTTATTATGAATAACTAAACAGCTGGTAATTATTAGTCAAAATATTCTGACCATTTACCACATAAAATGCCTCATATTTTTCTCTGGAGCACAAAGTACAAAGATGTCTGCTGTGTATATACTGTATATATTGTTCAGTTTTATTTCTGTCTAATATTGTTTTCTTGCACTCGCAGTATCTGTTTTAATTGTTATATTGACTTGTCTCCTCAACATGATGGTAAATAAAATAAGTATATGAGGTATGTGATATGTTTATTCAGAAGGAATTTTACAATTTAATCACTCAATCAGATGTCTACCTGTCCAGAGCAGCAGAGCCTAGTCGCTGTTTGATGATGTCACTGGTCAGAAGTAGAGTAGGGCCTTCAGAAAACAGAAAGACATCAAACTGGGCTTTAAAATAGGATGTATGACACTGCTGTGAATAAAAGTGTAGAACATTGTATCATTGTGCAAATCCTAGTGTAGATCCTCCTATCCCCTAACAGTGGACAGGTACTTCCTTACAAAAGAAGGGAACCAGTGTTTCTTTGGGTCCTCTGCAGTCCGCTCAG